CGTGTGCTCTTCCGATCTCCCCAAAACCCCAAAACCCCAAAAGCAGAAATATACATTTACAAATGGAATATTTTAAATTAAATAATGTCTCGCAATGCAACTGCAAGACTTAATATTGAGACATCTACTCAATAAGTGATTATCTCAATACATATTTTTCATTGAGCGTATTCATCTGGCTTTTTGATGCCGTACTTTTTGGCTAGATCTTCAGCATGTCTATTTAGATTTCCCTATAGAGTGCCGAGTGCGAAAGCTTTAGCTCCATATTTGTATGCTCCTAAGTAAGCAAGAGAGTATAAAAATACTCCTGCAGGGCTAATTTTCCTTGCAACGACATAAGTCAAAGGCCAGTAACCCAAGAAAAATGCGCCTCTTAGGAAGTTTTAAGTTTGATCGTGAATATTGTTGTACTTAATGAAGGTCTCTCTAAGTTATACTTCATCCTATGCGAGGAGTTCTGGGTTGTAGTAAACTTTTTAGAATAAGTGAGTTGAGGCATCGAATCTATTAAAAACTTGTTCTTGCTTTCTCTTGAGGCGGCGTCTTGTTAGTTCCACTCCTTTGTAGTCGTAGATCTCCTAGAAGCCTTTGTTTTCCCAAACTCTAGCCAAAATCTCTCCCTTCTCATTGGTGATGTGGTTGACAAGAGCATTAGCCAACTTCTCGGAGTCGTAAATTCTGTCTTGAATTATTGGCACGTCTTGAGGAGATATCATATTTTTAATTATAAAGTTATTAATTCAATTAATTATCAAGGAATGCATTTTATGTCTCATGAACTAATTTATTAACGTATAGTATTTCAAATTTATCAATTAAAAATAGGTTGATTAAAAATGACGAAATTTAGTTAAACCATGCAAAATCAGCAGGTATCTCAGTTTAGTGGGTAATTTATCATCAAATGTTATTACTAATTGATTAGGAACTACATAAACTACAAGTTTCTCAAAAAGAAAATCAAGCAATGCTTAGGCAGATGTAAAACTGAATTGAATCAAAGTATACATACCAAGCAATAACTATAAAATATAAGAGAAAAAGCTAAAAATAACGAGAGTTCAGCCTATGAGGAGCTGATGCAAACAATAGTAGGTGATATATAAAAAGAGTTTTTCACTACTCTGGAGAAAGATATTATCAGAGTGTCTGATTTTTATCATCAACTAGCTAAAAATATAATCAGAGAAGTTAATAGTATTCTTAGAAACAAGGATCAATGGAAGTAAGATTAGATTATGATAATTTATATTCTTATAGGACTTCACATGACCATTACTTGACTGTTATTATAGAAAATTTGACTAAAATTGGAAATGAAGTGATTGAAATAGGTCACTTCATTGAGCTCAATATGACTGCAATAAGAAAAATACTGAAGAAATTCGATAAATAATTGGAAAATGTTTCAATGTAAGTTATATATTTTGTGATAATCTTATTAGTCCACTTGCCTAGCTATTTTTGAATAACATACTAAAGAAGCAAGCATCTACATTCTGTAGTCTAATATCTCACAGTGTGCTTTATGAAGTTTACATGATTTTAGAAGATTGTTAAAAGGAAATAAAGAAAATTGCTTTAGAAAGAATAAATAAGAATGCGAACAAAAGAATATAGAAGAGGAATTCTTTTGGCTTGAAGTCTTTTGATATAAGCTAGAATAGATCATAAGGCAGGGAGCTCTCAACTTTCGAGGAGCTTAAGTAACCATTGCTAGATGAATAGGAAGACAGCTTGCCAACCAGTTCTAACATGATCCCAGAGGGATTAGGCAGCTAGCATTTTCATAGGATGATGATGAGTAAACTTAAGATTCTCAAGAATACGATAGATATAATGGAGGAATCATTATCCGCTATTAAATTCTCAACGAGTTTTGCAGTAGTGAGTCACGAGGCTCAAGTGATGATAGATGCCTATAAAGAGGCTGAATCCCTAGAAGGGTTGTATTATTCTCTTGGCAAAAATGGAGATAGATAAACTGATGATTATAACGATGAATCTAGTGAAGGAAAAAGTTAAAATGACAGTAGCTTCAATGTTAGGACATTGAATATGAATGAGTTGAGAGCTTAAAGATAAGAATTAGAAAAGGCGAAATAGAATAAACTTAGACCTGGAGGTGATCATCTATCAATGAATCTTCTCTATGCCTAAGCATTCCTTTACAGTCTTAATCATTTTGCAATAGTACCTTCTATATTTGAATTTGCAAGTGAACTTGGAGCAAGTGCTACTTTTGCTGGAGTACTTTTGGCAATGACTCCTTTAGCTACTTCAATTCATGCAATTATTTAAAATTTCTGGACTAGAAGAAGTTTCAAGCATCCAATGATATTCGGATTACTGATGATTATCATTAGTAATCTGCTCTATATCTATGCATATCACCATAGAAGGCTTGATTTACTTATAATTTCTAGATTCATTTTTGGCTTTGGAGGTTCTAAAGTCGTTCATAGAAAATACATTGCTAACTATATATTGAAGCAGTACTGGACCCAGTATTATCAGAGATTGATCTTTATATCATTTTTGGGAATGTGCTTTGGACCTCTAGTTTACCTAGCTCTTGTCTATTTAAACATGGAGTATAAACTTCAGGAGAGAAACTTTGTATTGCCAAGCTATCTTGGCTTCTTGCTATTTTCAGGGTTTTTAATAGTAATTATATTCTTCTTCAGGCAAAGAAAGTATACTATAGAACAGAAACGACCTAAGTTGAATTCAAAATAATTATTCAGAAATAATACAACATCTAATTACAGCTTAGATTCTCAGTAGTCTGTTGAAGATGATGAAAATACAGTTTAACCTAATGTAGCTAGAAATGAAAGTGAAGAAATTGATTTGAGGCATTATAATGAGAAACTGAGATAGATAAGCGAGCTAAGAGGCTTCTGGTCTAGATATGGCTCATACATCATTCTACTAATATTGAAGTTCATGCAAAAGGTCACTCAAGATGCTCTTATAGTTATTCTACCAGTGCTTATTGCGATTTCAACAAACGCCTAATTACCTTTGGGATTTCCAAGTTTGAGCTTTGTCTGCTTGATTTACTCTGCTATGGGTATTATGGCACTATTTATAAACCTAGTCGTATCCAGATTAGACCTTCAATACTAAGATAGAAGTATTCTGTTGATATCACTATTCGCTGCATCTTTCGGAATATTCTTTCAAATTGATATAATTAATCAAGGCTCTCTTGTTCTTCATATGGTCGGCTTCACAATTACTTTTATTGGAATTGAGATCATGGAAGTTGCAATTGCTGCTCTCACAGCTAAATTTACTCCTCCAAATCTATAAAAAGGATTAATGAACCCTAGCTTCTTGCTAACTTTTGCTGGAACAATTGGTCGAACGATTGGTTGTTTAGCTATAACACTAGCAGATATAGGAAATGAAGCCTAGCAATCGTTTGAACATATCACAAACTATACATTCGCACCAATGATTGGAATATATTTGGTTCTGTTTATTACTACGAACTGTATCTATGAGCAACTTAAAAGTGTTTCCTTCCATTAGTTTCAGCTTTTAGATAGAATTAAAAGATAAGATTTTTCCACTTCACAGATTTAAGGGGGTCAAGCAATTAATGATGACTCTCCTAAGTTTGGACTAAATCAATGGAACAACGATAAATAAATTAAATACTGATAATATTTCACTTCTCATTTAGCTATGATTTTAATTTATTTTAAGTTAAAATTAAATAATTCAAAATTTAAATTTAAATGCAAGCGTCTACTAATACAAACAACATGAGCACAGATATATTCAAAAAATATCAGCAGCACAGCATTCAGAATACTCACATTAACCTAATGAATGACTAATCTCGGAAAAATCTCAAGGAATCCAGAAACACATATACTCATAGAAGCATCAATGATCTGGCTCTTAAGGAAAATTTCAACTATTCTAACTTGAGAGAGGAAGATTTGAGGAGCTCGGCAAATTAGAATTCTTCAATTTTGCAGAGATCTCAGGACATGAGCGCGCATAATCTAGAATTCCTAAAAAAACTTGACTTCCATCAGAACCAGATCAAGAAGTATGAAAACTTTCTCAATGATATTAGGAAACTCAATGGCACATTTTATCCTCAGAAACTTCAAGAGTAAAGCTAGGTAGAAACACAGCAAAACGCAAATTTGAATCAAACTGAGATAAAAAGTCACAAGGCATTTACCACTCCTTCAAGGACTGTAAGTGCTGGAGCATCAAGAACTCAAAACTAAAATGAAAGACTTTTGACTTCATCAAGCGTGTTCATTCAGATGAGTGATAATAACCAAAATAAACAAAGACAGGACAAGCAAGTGCCTATGATAACCATTCCACCCTCTAATTTAACCATTTAAATACCATAAAATAACAATAATTCAACAACTAATAGCTACACTGCTAATGGACTTATTAGTTGTATGCCATCCTCAGGGGCTAATACTCAGAGATACAATCAGAGTTCATCTAGATCAGCCTATCAACATTTCTCAATTAATCTGAATCCTTGCCTACCATTTACCCCCACAAATAACAATGATTACACATTAAAGAGCAGTAACAGTTCAACCCACAGACAATTTGGAGGTGGAAGTTCTGTAGGACTGTTTAATAATAGATAGTCAAGTAACTAAAGTACTTCCAGAAAGCTCGATAATAGTGATATTAGGATTGTATACACAAAGAAAGAAGAGCAGCTCACAAAGTCAAGAATCAGTGATCTAAATTAAAGTCAAAATGATTAAGTAAGAAGAAGGACAGATGAGATGCCACTTCAAATGAGTTCAAAGCCTGTGTCAGGCAGACCATCCATTCAGAATTTAACTAGGAAAGATTCTTCAGTTCACAGTGAGAGCACTAATGAAAATCAGCCTATAACAATTAATAAGTTAACTTTCGAGCAATTAGTGGAAAAAGAGATGAATAAACAAGAACCTGTTTACAAAAATATGCAATCTGCTAATTAAAATAATGATGAAGTGGTTATTTTCGAAGCTGAGGTCAGTGAAATTAAATAAAAAGATGGAAGCAGTGCGCTGTCACTAGAGCACTTAAACAATCTTGACTCAATTAAAATCATCACCCCGAAACCCTTCCTTAAAAAAGGTGAAGGATTTATAATTAAGAAAATTGATAACAAGAATGATTTTTTCAAAGAGTAATCAGTCAGAAAATCCCAGTCTTTGGAGTCTTATGCTTCGCCATAACAAAGATCAAAGTCTTCTTGTAAGATGATGAATAAGAAAACTAAAAAGCAATAGATTTTGCAGCAACTAAATCAAGCGTAACAAAAGTCTCAAAGATGTGGAAATCAGACTAGAAATACAAGTCAACCCACCAGGACTCTATCATAAAGTAACAGACCTAAATCTTCTCAAAAACAACTTAATACTGAGAGAAAGCAGCAAACTCCTTAATAAAGTGCTAACTCATCTATTATGTAACAGTCATTCAAGATTGATAATAGCATGACTCTTAATAAGTCAATGAGTTCTCTAAAGAGCTTAAATAGCTCACTAATCAAGCAGAATAAAACAACTAGAAATAGACCATCTGGTAAGCAGGCTAATACTCTCTATCAAATTTCAGAAGGTGAAGAACTACTTGATAACATGAAGCAAGCTGAAATCATTAGAATCGAGAAAGAGATAGAAAAGCTTGCCAAGAAAAAGACCATTTAAGAGAAGGATGTAAGATCAAAACTTGAAGTTCATTTGAAAATGATCACACAGTTGAAGTCAGAGCTTAAAAAAAGGGAAAGTGAGGTTAAAGAATCATAGAAGAAAATGAAAGAGAAAATTGAGATGCTCGAAAAAGAAAACAATACACTCAAAAAATAATAGAAGTTACAGCAAACTCAAGTATTAAAGGTGGTAAAGGATAGTAATGCTGAGAATAAAAATAAAATTAATCAAATTCTTCAGCAATCTTAGATGAGTCAAAATCACAGTGCTGCAATTATCAAAAAACATAATTTTAACCCACCTGAGATTACTTAATCCAAAACCACTACTAATAAAACTACTAACGCAGTAAGAAAAAGTTCAAAGAACCAAATTACTTCTTAAAAATCTTAGAGCCAATCCCTTGGGGCTAAACTTAGAGGAGCTATTTAAAAGTAACAAAAAAGTCGACAAGCTAGCCCAACTCATCCCTATTTTGAGAACAAAACTAGCTTTGTTAGAGACTTCTAGAGATCTCCAGTAGCAGATAGAGCAGATAGTGCTGCTAGCTTTGAGAGAAACGAGCGTAGAATTATTGAAGAGGGACTTGTCTAGAAACTAAAACTTGATCCTAAATATTCACTTCAAAACCAAGAAATTAAGTTTAAGACATGGAATGAGGAAGGTACAGTTGAAATACTATACACTGATGAAACAAAGGAGTTCCATATGAGTAACGGTATTAAGAAAAGAGTTTATAATGATGGCTTGATAATACTAACAATGCCAAATAACGACATCAAAGTTGTAAGTTAAAATCCAAAGCCAACCAATAATTTGTATAGTGCTAACCAAACGGACAATAAAGAAGCTTTTATGCTGAGGAAATTACTCTTGATAGCTAGAACTAAATTGAGAACAAAGAGAACATTCCATTAATAGCTAGAGAAGATCTTGACTAATACGAATCATGATAGGGATTAATAACTAATAAATTCATTGAGTGAAAGATAATAAAAACATTTTGATCCATTGATTGAAGAGATATAATTAACAAACTGATTGATAGATAAATTGTTTTTTCATTGACTTATTAACTTTATTAAAATAACTTTAATTCAAAACCATCAATTATCTATTATCAAAATGGGTTTAATTTTTCTGGACAGATTATATATGAAGCTCCAAAGTAAAAGACTACACCATTCCTCAACCCATACCTTAGATATCCTTTTTTAAGTAGAGCTACTGAGAGAAAGGTTACTGCAAATGTTCCAAAATTGATTATATTCTTCCTCAAATCTTAGTTATCTTATCTGATGTATTAAGTCTTAAGTTCATTCTTCAATTTGTTTTTCTCAGTTTATATAAGTTTATAGTAAGGTAAAACTGTGTATTATGCCTAAATTTTAGCATGAACTAATTGTTAATAGGCTTTAGTCCAATATAGACAGCAGATCTGCTTTCCTTGATCATATTTTTAATTGTACATTGATAGAAGCCCTTGATAATTTCCAGAGTATTACTCAGACACATTTGAAAACTTAGAAGTAGCAGCATTCAATGACCCGATTAGTTTCTGAGAGAAATCTTATTGCTGATTAGATGCCTCTTAGCTTGAGTTGTTTTCTTACTCTGATTTCTTTTATTAATCTTCACTCATTTTAATAATTATAACTCTAATTTTTTATCATAAATGAATAGAGGGGTTTTGGGGTTTTGGGGTTTTGGGGAGATCGG